TATAATTTTTTTAAAGAAAAAGAAAAAAATGACAAAAATGCAACTAAAAAGGTGAAATAAAGGGAAAAAAATAACTAATTCTCACCCCCACACCTAAATTTTACATTGTCCTCAATGCAAATTTGCTGATGCACAAAGTAAAGCATATAAGACTTGAAAAACTTACAATTGTTCAGTCGACCAAGAACAATGATGATAAAGATCTGCAATTACTGTTAGCATGAGGATGAAAAAATCAAATAAGAAAAGAAAAAAATTATAGTTGTTATTATTATTATTATTATTATTATTATTATTATTATTATTATTATTATATATTTTTTTAGAAAAGAGAAAAAAGAAATGGTTTTTTTAAATGAGAAGAAAAAAGAAAAACCTAACTAAACAATTTTTTTTAGAAGAATAAAAGTTAGTTTTTTTTAAACTAGGAAAAACCTAACTAAAACAAATCCTATATATTTTTTTTAGAAAAATAAGAGTTATATTTTTTTATGAGAAGAAAAAGGAAAAACCTAACTAAAACAAATAAAAATAATAATCACTTTGTAATCAATTTAACTCTAGGGTTAAGCCTAACTCAGCTAGACCAGCTCCTAACCAAAAAATTCCTTAAGTGAAAAGATAAAAGTTTTACTCGGTTAGTTAGCCAGGTAAGGATAGGAACAAAGGTTAATCAGAGATCAATTAAGTACCTCGTTCCTTGCAGAGCGTTTTACGTAACCCTTAAACATTGTCTTAGACACCAACTAATCCAAGAAAACTTAAACCGGTTCACCTAAAGATTCTTTGTTCCTTATTGAGCTTGATTCCTTATGGGCAACGTCTAATAAGTTTTATTAGGCTAGGGTTGTGTAGTGAGGAATTAATGATTTTGGGCTAAGAACAGTGTGATAAAATCTCCCACATTATCTTGATTATGGGGTTTTGCCCTTAAAAATATTTTCAAGTGTGTGCCAAACCAAGATGCTCAAATCACTTTGGTGAATTCCTGCTAACTGTATGAAATGCAACCCTAGGAATTAAAATCGACTAACAAGGATGGTAAACAGAATTTTTTTATTTTTTTTAATTAGGGTTAACAATCAAACAATGAGAAGGGAGAATATTATTTGAATTTATTATCTTGTTAGTAGTTATTCAAGTGGAGGGTGAATTTTATTATGGTTGACAAAAATGAAATTTCTTTTTTTTAATCCTATTTGTCTCTAATTATGAGAAACTAACTCAATGTGTGGAATTAAAAATATTAGGAAGAAGACTTATCACAAGCGAATCTTCAATTCCTTAATCTCCAATCCTTGATCTTTAATCTCCAAGTAGTTCTTTCACAAAAACACACAAGTTAAAGAATGAAAATAATAAAATCCTACTTTAGCACCTTCCCCGGCAACGGCGCCAAAAACTTAATGCGGCATAACTATGTACCAAAATTACAAGTGCACAATTGATCAAGTTATAGTATAAAAAGTTATCGATCCCACGAGGAAGGTGATTTTTTAAGAGATTATTAGAAGTGGTTCTCGTGTTTTGTGCGTGAAAAAATTAGGATTAAAGAATAAGTATGAGAGTTATGATGAGTGAGAATGATTGTTGTGAATATATGCAAGTAACAATAAATTGAATTTTAGAGAAGAGAAGTAAGAATCAAAGAATAAAACAAAAAGCAAGAATAAAAAGAGAGAAAAACAAGAAAACAAAAGATGGAGGATTCAATTAAAGATATGAGAAATCTAGAATTGAATCCACGTACTAGCTAATTTCAATTACAAAATACAAACTATTCTTTTTTTATCATATTTCACTTTAGATTTATTAAGCATAGACTATCAAACCATTTAAGGAAAGCATAGCCTATCAAATTATCATCTAAGCAAAATTACAATTCATGATAGAACAACAACAAGATAGTAATTCTAGAATTCATAAACATAACCTATCAAATCATTTAATATAAGTATAGATTATCAAATTCTTCTTCTACCAATTAGTTTTCTACTTGATTATCCTAAACATGAACCTTTTAAATGAAAGAGAATAATTCATACAATATAAAGAAAGTTAGACTAGTTTCATACAATTCTGAGATTCCTACAAGAATTAATTTCACATCTTAAGAAATAAAAGCAAGAAAAAAAGAACTAATTATAAAAAGAAAAAGAAAAGAAAAATATAAACTATGAACAAAAAATAAATCTAACTATAAAGAATTAAAATCTAAACTACAAAATAAATTATAAAAATTAAATGCATGAAAATAAATATACTCTACAAATTAAAGTGCAAAAAGAAATAAAAAGATAAAAAATAAATCTACACTACAAGCATGAATGTAAATCTAACTAATAAGCAATAATAAAAAAATTACTAAATAAATCTAACTAATAAGCAATAATAAAAAAATTACTAAAAAGAAATAAAAGAGGAAAATAAAAGAAATGTAAACCTTCAAATTGCTCTTCATCTCCATAAGAGGAAAATAAAAGAAATGTAAACCTTCAAATTGCTCTTCATCTCCATCCTCATCATTCAACAAAGAAGAGAAAAGAAAAATTTAAAGTGGAGAAAAATTCTTTTATTAATGTAACAAAAGTTACAAATTTAGAAGGTCTTCTCAATTAAGAGTAACCCTCCTCTCCAAATGGAGTTACAAAATTTTTTACACCGCTAACCCCTTACTCTCTACCCCTATGTATAGTAAACATCAGTGAATAAGAGCCTTTAGATTCAAATCTTATTCAAAACCAACAAATTTCAGCCTTAGATCTGTAACAGAATGTCGTAGCTATCGATAAGGGCATCGATAAGCGTATCAATGCGGGCATCGATAGGCGCATCGATAGGCTTATCGATGTGCCCATTGATGTGCTTATCGATGGTTGCTTCTCTCCTTTTTCAGCCCGCAGCTTTTTCTTGTGTTTGGTTTTTGGGCTTGGGCCTTTGGTATTTTGAGCTTTAATTCTTCTTTTTAGCTTGGGCTTTTGGATAATTTGGCAATTAATTTTTCAATGAGCTTCTTTGCTTCATTTCTTCATTAAATCAAGGGCTTTTGATGAGAGATGAAATTTTTGGAATTTATTCTTCATTAACCTGTATTTGAAGATAAAAACAATTATTAGTGGCATATTTATTCATATAAAATAAATAATGAGGGTATAAAATTGTAATAAAATATGATTATCAGGGATCAGCTATCTACAGTAATTTTTAGATAGCCTACATGGATTTTTTCCATGTGCCGATGGAACGTTAATCTTGTACTCTATTGATGGTTCGATTGAAGCATTAAATCTTCTACTAGCTGGCGATTGTAGAGGCCCTTTTTGAGATGCTGAACTACTCTAATGTGAATCTAAATGCCGAAATTGTCAAAATCCAAGGTTGCCCAAAAATGAGCAATCTCCCCTCCTCTTATAGGCTAAGAGGGAGAGTTAGTGACCATTAAATGTGGGTTTAGTAGCTATTAATTTAGGAGATAATGGGGAGAACCATTTCCATCAAAATACCTTTTGAAATGGTCAATGGTGAGGTTTACCTATAACAGTTGAATGCGTAGCTCGCTGAGTGATTTTGAGTGAAGCTCGTTGAGCAGCTTTGGGCAAAGCTTGTTGAGCGGCTTTGGGCGAAGCTCACTGAGTGGCTTTGGGCGAAGCTCGCTGAGCAGTTTTTGGGTGAAGCACAATAAGCAGCTTTGGGCTAAGTTCGTTCTAGCGAACTTTATCAGAATGTGGGCAGCCCACTTCCTTTGGGTGTGGTGACGTGGCCCACGTGGGTCTTTTAGTCGAATTTCACGTGAGGCTTAGGCGGGCTTCGCTATTATTTGGGTAGGTTTTGTCATGGGCTTGTTCTATTGCCCACATGAAGTGTTTAGCCCATGGGCGTTCACTTCTTAGAGTTAGCCTGAGCATTGATTCAGGGTAAAATATATTTTAAAAATCTACATACACAACAGGAATGAGAAGCATAGAAATATAAGAAAATACTAAACTAAGCATCCACATCTTAAGTGCGGATAAAAAGTTAGTATAGGCCAAGTATCTCATGCATCTCAAAAGAATATACAAGTCTAAAAATTTTAGAAAAGGAAAAAGGAAATGTGAGCTTCAACTGAATTTGATGCAAATCCTATGGTCTTCTACTCAGCATGATCGTCATCTCCCTGAATCTCCTCATCCTATTTGTCACCGCTGTCAACACCCTACGAAGTAGATGGATGAGTGCCTCCCGTAGATTATGGTGGTCTTGTGTAATATATAGTCAGCATACACTAGTTGTCTTCCCAAAGAAGGATCCATCTCACGTTGGGCTCCCATCATGAACTGTAGGGAGGTATCATAGTGTGTATGTTGTATAGACATATCATTGTGTGTTTTGTTGCCGGTAAAACCACTTTTGGACCTACTTGTCACCGAAGACACAACTTAGGTACCAAAATAACGCATTTGAATATGGAGTAAATGTCTGTTGTTGGCCTCGTGAATCTTGATGATAACAATATGCTTAAACCTTGTTTATATCTAAGTAGAGACAATTATATAACATAATGATTAAGCCAATGTCTGTTGGTTAAATCATAATTAAATATAAATCACGATATGGTTTAGTAATGACATGGCTCAGTGAGTTTACCAAACAAGCCCAAAACAAATAAATAAGAAAAAATTCCCCAAGGCTCCAAAATATGGCACCAACAGGGGGAGACAGTTGAGGTGTCCCCCCTCATATTGCATAATGAGCTGGTCATCATTAAATGATGACCAACTCATTATGCAATAGGAATGTTTAATGATGACCAGCTCATTATGCAATATGAGGGGGACACCTCACATGTCTTCTCCTCGTTGGTGTTATATTTTGGATCTCTGTAGCAAATCTCAATAAATAAATAAATAACTATTTTATTTCTCTGTACAGTGCAGAAGCTATTCTTTAAGTCAACCCCGCTGAGCTCACCTTCAGAGTAGTCGCCATTTAAATAATAAACAAATAAATAAATAAACAAATAAGGTTATTAATTTCTGTGTGTAGTTTTCTTTTGCCCCTAAAAGAAACGAAAGGGCAGCCGGCAGTGCTTCTTCTGATAATAGTCGCCCAAATCCCTTATCATCTTGGTACGTCTCTCTTTGCTCCTCCTCCTCAATCTCTTTCTTTTATCCGGTGAGCTTTTGGTTATTAGATTCCCTTGTTTCTGCATTTATTTACTTTTATAAATTATAAACTGTGTTGCGTATATATGTTGGCATTATTGAATTTGGGGTTCTGGGTACCTTTTTATTTCTGTCTGTTAGTATAGATTAGTGTCGATTTTGTTGATTCTTTAGATGGAAGAATTTGGGATACTGGGGGTAAAAATAGGAGTTCGGCCGGGGTAAGGATGAATGGTGGTGGTTGTTTTTTTCTAGGGGTTTTCTCTGTGCTTTGATGTCACATGTTCTACTTTAGGCTTAATCTTGTTGATGATTATTGTTTTCCTTGCGGAATTACAAGAGATTCTGGGCTGTGCATTCCATAGTTATGTGAAGACTTAGCAATTTCAATAAATTAATTTGGGCTTAAATTTTCCAATAAAATGTTTATCTAGTTTTGTTAACTGGTTTAATGTATATGCTTTATGTATGCACATAATTTGAAACGGGAGGTTAGACTTTGACTTGATTCCGAAATTTTAGGATGTATTATTGGATTTTGGTAAGTATATTTTGATTAATTCCGGTGACGTTTATTAAAATAAGGATTAAAGAACATTATTAGAAAAACCTGCTTGATAAAAATTTTACATGATACCTAAAGTTAGCCCTTGGGGGTTTTGATCTGTTGAAGCTTTTATTCTCTTCCTGACAGAATATTTCTCATTGAGATGTACCCTACTGTTTCCAACTAATATCAATATAAGTTCTTTACTTGGCTATATGTCAATATGTGGGGATTCTTCATATATGATAACGGAAGTTGTAGCTTGTCACATATTATGTTTTCTTGAGTTAAAATGGTTTTGAATTTGAAATACTCTTCAGATCATTTTTGCAGGTCATAGTTCAGAAAACTTTTTTGTTTTGGAGGGATTAGATGAGTCAGTCGAGAAACCCTATTCCTTTTTCTAGTACTTTTTGTTGTCTTCTTCTTCTTCTTCTTCTTTTTTCCTTTTTTTTTTGCAATTGATATGATCAGTTCTTTTCACCTTTCTTTTTGGTATGTCTTTGTGGAATTTTTTTTTGCAGTGTTTTCCAAAGATTTAATCTAATTATGTAAATATTTTTCCCATTTGGTATATCTTTTGTTGAAACTTGTGCTTCTGTTAGTATTTGGTACTCATCATAGTCATGGTTTATTAAATTCCTCAAAGGAAAATGGTATGTTCAAACCTCGATAAGATATGTTTGTTATGTTTCTACAGAAGGGTTTATATCAATGTTTTTATTGGTCAATTTAGTTACTTTTTGCGCAAAGTCTACTTTCATTTAGGTTTTTTTAGGGAACCACCCCAATTTCATGTTACCACCCGTACTCTAGTTTTAGAAAACCACACTCATCTACCATACTGTTAACTTGCACCATGCTCTTTTTGATCCAATTTTCTATCCAAAAAAGTTATAATTTGATGGTTTACCCATACATAGGTTTAGTTTGTTGAACTTTGTGTATCAAAGTTAGATTTTGTTAAACTTTGGGGATCAAAATTAAATTCGATAAATTCTGTTGAAATTTAGGGTATCAATGTTAAATTTTGTTGAAATTTGAGGTCTTAAAGTTAAAATTTTGAACTTTAGGATATTAAAGTTAAAATTTGAACATTGCGGTATTCTTTGGGCGAAAAAGAACTTTGTGGTATCAAAGTGAACGATGAAGTTGACTTTAGGGTATTTTTGGGCAAAGAAATTTTTTGGGATAGCAAGGTTAAAATTGGAAATAATTTTGAGTATCGAACTTTGATACCCAAAGTTCAACAATTATAAGGCTAAAATTGTCAAGCTATAATTTTATGGACTGAAAATTGGATGGAAAAGGACATGGGTAGTTCTATGTTAACGGAATGGTAAATAAGGGCGGTTTTTTGAAAGTTGAGTAATTAAGGGTGGTAACATGAAATAGAGCTAAGTTAGGGGTGATTCCCTTAAAAAATTACCCCTTTCATTTATTTAGAAGCTTGCAGTTTGACGTTAGAAAAACCTGTTGGATTACCAATATAGGCTTGAGCCTCTATTGTTATCAAGTTGTTGGAACTATTACACTTTTTAGGATGCCTCGCATTAGAATGGCTCATTTCATTTCTAATCTACATTAGTTGAAGACCATTACTTGGCTATGTAGTCAGGGGTTTCTTCATATCAATGTTGAAAATAACGAAAATGGGTTATGTAATGCTTGGCCTCCTGTTAAGGGTTAAGGGGAAAAAAACAAAAAAACGTAACACATAACATAGGTTGTATTGTTTATTAACTATTTAGATATTTTATAAATACTAATAATTTATAATAACTTTAATATTTAGAATCATCAAACTTTTCGAACATAACATCATAGTTATCAAATATAAAAAATATAGTATTATAATTTCTTAACAAAACTTAGTCATATATGACTAACAACCATTCCAAAAAGCATCATCAAATGATCAAACACGTTAACATTGTCAAGTTTGAAGCAATAAAAACAAGTCTAAACACTTTCAACTCTCAAGTTCTTAACTTCAAAAAAATATTCTAATTCCTGATCAAGTTTACTACATCAACCAAACTAAACATAATTATGTAACACCAGTTAGAAATTTTGCATACACAGAGATTACATGCAAACTTAATTTCATAAACTCTAGTATTAACTGAAAACTGAAAACTAAAAGCTAATCAAAATCAAGTAATAAATGAAAATAATTATCTAATCAACACAATTAACCCACTAATTAATCTCGGTACTATAATTTTCTAACAGAACTTAAAGAATTATGTTGAAGGGTAAAGTAATGGAGTGACAAGTTTGATATGATTTATGGTAAATTGGTAATATAAAAGATTAAAATTTAGAAGGTAATTTCAGAATCACTGTTTACTTAAAAGGATATCAACTGAGATGTCCGATATATAACTGAAAAATAAAAAATTACTTCACCGGAGTCACAAAAGCTGTCGATAGCCGGATGAGTTTCAGAGGAGTAAAGAGCTAGGGTTTGGGTTGAAGGAGGTGAAGAGATTGCATATTCACAAGAAGAGAATAGGATGATGGAACTAAAAGGGGTAGGGTTTAAGTGATTTGGACGGTGGAGATCCATCAACGCATCCTAATTAGAGATCTAACCTTAAAAAACCCATGTTAACTGGTTATATAACGTAAAGCAATAACATAACACATTTAACGCGATATAACGTGTTTTTTCTGGGTTAAACAATTTTAGGGTTAAATGGGTGTGTTACCTAACAAGAGAATACCGTTAAGTTACAGAAAGGGTTATTACTGGTTTTTTTAAACAATGATTCATATGTGATAACAGATATTGTAGTTTGACGGCATTTCTTCTAGAGTGCCAGGTGTTTCTTACATTCTTTATAAGCTTTATGGAGTTGAGGATTTGGTTTTTTATTGAATTGATATAAGCAGAGGTTTATTATCTGTTATGCTTTTCGCATTTTGCTTCTTACATATGGCTAGCATTTTATTTTGATCAAAGTTCCTCTTGTAACAAAGTTTATGTTGCGCATAGAAAATTTATTTGTTCTTGCCCTTCTCAATATCCTTTTTATACTTTGGGTAGGTTTATGTGAAATTGCACATTCTCCTACTGCTAAGCTGTTTGTAATTGCTTGTTCCCCATTTTACTTCTGATTGGAACAGTTGTATTTTGAAAATATATTTATATCAAGATTCTTTCTTTAAAATGATTTTGTGCGATCTTGGTTATTTGTAATTTTTAAGTCTTTACCCTATCCTCTTTTAAGAAAGATGCAAATGGAAATATTTTATGGACTGGCAGCCAAACAATTGATAAGAGCTTTGGATATTATTACCAACATGCATCACCTTTTTAAGTAAAATTTAATGTTAAGGATCAGATTGTAAATGACATCCTAATCAAATATGATTTTCTGATATTTATTTTGTTTTTCTTTCTCCAGAAAATAATCATCACCATAATATCTCTTGTAAAAATATAAACAATCATAACCATAGAATAAATTGGGAAATCTCTGTATGTAAAACCTTTGGAACTTTATTTAGCATATAAATAACTACACCTTACATCTATTTTATAGCTCACATGAACTCTTGTAACTAATTATTGTATACTGAAATATAACTGGTTATGAAATATTGGGGTTCTCTCATGATCTAAATAATTCTTTTCATTTTCCACTTTCCACGACAGTGAAATGGAAATTTACGAGAATATATTTGGTTGAATTAAAGTTTTGGTTTCATTTCATATGTAACCCTCTACTCCTTTTAAAAGTTCTATGGATATTTCCAATTAACTTCCTATTAAGATACAGTTTATATATGCATTTTGACACGAAACTGCTGGATTATACTTCTATGTGATACTAAAATTCAGAAGTTAGAATTTGAAGAAACCCTTTGATTCTTGCAGATAGTCTGATCAATGGGTGAAGTTTCTACGACGACTAACATTGCTAAGGATGTCACTGAAGTATGACCTCTTCTTTCTTTTTTGTGAATGCGAGTTTAAGTTCTTCAGATCCTATCCTTAGGGTTATAAACATTTTCCATTTATAATCCCTCAGTTGATCGGTAGAACTCCTTTGGTTTATCTCAACAATGTCGTGAGTGGTTGCCATGCTCGTATTGCTGCCAAGCTTGAAATGATGGAGCCTTGCTCTAGCGTTAAGGACAGGTCTGCTATTATTTTCTTAAAAATTGTATTCCTTTTCCAGTCCACGATAGTAGTTTTTATGTTGACAAAGTTAGTTGTCTTGGCAGGATTGGGTATAGCATGATTACTGATGCAGAGGAGAAAGGCCTTATTATTCCCGGGCAGGTAAGGGGGTGTTTGTTTTAAATCCTATAATTTTAGGATATGGATTTTACGATGGGATTTGAAATTCATAGGTGTTTTGTTATGGGTTGGGATTTCTAAAATGTTGTTTGTTTCATTAATATTTTGGGATTTGGAATACTACAATTTGTAATATTTTGTTTGTTTTAAGCTCAAATTGTAGCATTACCAAATGTCAAAATTTTGTAATATGATGAATATGCTATCTTGGTGAGGTTACCTCCCACAAAAAGACAAAATTGGTATTTGTCAAAATCCTCTCCAATTGAGAGGATTTGACAAATTCTAAAAATTGGGCATTTTTTGCACTTTTGGGATTCAATAGTCTAAAAATCTTCTTAAAACAAACACCATATATGAAATCCCAAAATACAAAAAAAAAAACTCATTTTTTGATCCCAAAACTTGTAATCCATACCAAATGCCAAAACATTTGGTGAAACAAACACCCCCTAAGAGACTTCTGATTTGACCCCCCCCCCCCCCCCCCCCCCCCCAAAAAAAAAAAAAAGGAAACACCAAAAAATAACCAGAAAAAGAAAGAAAATAAGAAAAGAAAAGAGGATGTAATGAGGCTTACAATTGATTGATGACAGCTTGTAATGCTGAAAAGCCATCAAAGAAACACTTTCAGCAATTTCTCAGTTCTGCAGTTCATTTTAACAACTCATCACAATGCTTTCATTGCCATTTTTCAAATGATTCAGTGAACCATTTAGCAATTTTCAGTGTGGTACTGTTAAATTGTCAGTTTTTCTAATAATTCGTAGTCTGAGTGTAAATTTCCAAACTTGTGATATGTTGTATACTCTGAGGTTTTCCGATATATTGTATACTCTGAGGTTTTCTGAATTTGTAATGGGCTTCAATTTAACTCCTCAGTTCATTTTAGGCTATAGAGAGAATACACTTCCATAAGCAGATCATTCGTATTACCCAATATTCAGTAACATGAGCTACATATACATAATTAAGACATACATATGTATAATTGTAACCTCGTATCTAAAGTCTAAAGGTTGCTGTATCCAACATATATGTCCATTTCTAAATAGGAAACTGGTATCCTTGTTCTTGAATCATAGGCTCATAGCCTATCAGGCTATCAACAATATGACTATCAAGTTATACGCATGGATTTCTGTTGCTAATATATCTTCTAGGAAATTGGCAGAAATCCTTATCGACAGGACGTCAGGTTGACGGCGTCTGCTCATAGATTGTGGTCATCTTCTATGGAATGTGTACTCCATAGCTAATACCAATTTATTCAAAAAGGCTTCTATAACTACGATGATGATTCTAAGATTTTGAAAATGCTTCAATGATTTTACAGTTTCTTGTGCATTTTCTTACTTTCTTTTAGTATCCGATTCCTAGCCAAATTATTCCTCATTTCTTTGCATTGGTTACGTGCTAGACAGAGATACTTACTGTGTATTCCCAGTATGACCTGATAAGAATCTGATGTACAACACCAAGAAAGGACCCGAAAAACCTAGAGTTAGCTAATTTGAATGTCTTAGGAATTGGAGTTGACACTTTTCACTGAATTGACAATGATGATCACTCGAGTGATATTTTAATTCAATTTTACATGTTGCGAGAGATGAAGGACGGGCATCCTGCTTATTATGGCCCTAACCCCAGTCAAAATTATCACCGAGTTATATTTATAGCTTCAAGGTTTCTTGTTTCATACTAGGTTTCATATCTGTACCAAATTCTTAACATAGTTTTGGATGGTTTACCGATTCTTCATATATTGAAAGTTATTTACTGCATATGTAAATATCAGAACCTTATTGGTTTATTTAGCTGACATTTTCCTCCTTTTTTGTACTTGGCAATTCTTCTTAAAGAGCGTCCTGATTGAGCCTACCAGTGGTAATACTGGCATAGGGTTGGCTTTCATGGCAGCAGCAAAGGGCTATAAGCTCGTCTTAACAATGCCCGCATCCATGAGCATGGAGAGAAGGATAATTCTTAAAGCTTTTGGTGCTGAGTTGGTCCTAACTGATCCAGTTTTGGGGATGAAAGGAGCCGTTCAAAAGGCTGAGGAGTTGGCTGCGAAGACACCCAACTCATATGTTCTTCAACAATTTGAAAACCCTGCCAATCCGAAGGTATTTTTTTGAACCACTATTCTCAAGTACTTTTCTTTGTAATCTTGAATGAATCCAATGATGTACATGAAATTCATTATCTGCTTATAGATTCATTACAAGACAACTGGGCCTGAGATATGGACCGCAACTGGAGGGAAAATCGATGCCTTTGTATCTGGTATTGGAACTGGGGGCACGATAACTGGAGCAGGGAAATATCTTAAAGAGAAAAATCCTGATGTCAAGGTTAGTCCAATTAAGACTATATAATATTATCATTAGTTCACTCCTTTTCTAAGCATCAGACCTTCAAAAGGATGGGCCATGTCTATACTAAGCTTTATCATGTGTTATTTGTGTTCTAAATTTTTGTGTCATCTGTTTCCTTGGTTTGAGCTTTATGGCGTGGAGCCGACAGAAAGTGCTGTTCTATCGGGAGGAAAGCCAGGTGAGTTGTTTTATGAGATCCCTTATTCTTTTTTTTAGAATTAAATAAGGATATACCACTAGTTAACATTACCTTCTGCTCAAAGTATTCATTTTATCATGCTATGATTCATTGTACATCCCATCGATAAAAAGTGGGTCCAAATGTATGTGATATGGCTGATGCCTTTAGGGTTTGCTCACTGAACCTATATGTTGCTAAAGTTGGAATTATAATATTCATGGGCAACTAGTGAAGGCTGGTCGGTCCATCTAGTGTTGCTTTATTTAGCTAAGCATTTTATGTGAAAGTCTAGTTAAGTTTCTGGTCTCATTTTGTAGTTGATACTTTATTCATCTCATAGTTGTCTACAAACTTGTCGGCTCACTCATCTGGGAAGAAGGCAATGAGCAATTAGCATGTTTCCAACTCAGAGAGCCATAATGAAGAAGATATTGAGTGCTGGCTGCTACATAGAAGCCCTTGCTCATAGTTCTAGTTTATTCTCAGAATTTCAGCCCTTCCTCCCTTTGCATGTTTGTAAATATCAGTTTTATTTACTGCAATAAACTAAGGGTTAGACCTTTTCTCAGGGAAAAAACATAGTTTTGTCATGCTTCATTTTTTATTCTCTGGGTCACTTGTTTCATATGTTTCTAAAGGAGGCGGTATGTGCTTAAAGCATCTTGTTCTCTCAAGAACCATGAAGTGATCTTCAAATTTGTATTCTAGTATTGTGTAGTTCAAGCTTGAAATATGATGTCTCTATGGCGGCTGTAACGAGCTTACGGAATTTGATAAAATTGCTAGTAGGTTGTGATTTTGTAGTTCATTTTTGGAGCAAAAGTGTATCGTGGTTTGACATGACATAGCTGTTTTGACATGGCATTATTCTTAAATTTGAAACCAACACTGATATGTTTTACTTTATTTTTTTTTTATTTTTTTTTATTTATTTTCATGAGGATACATACATTTAATATATAGTTTTGTATCTAGGAAAGTTTCATGTAAAAAAGCTGTTTACAATGTAAAATGGTAAAGCAATTAAAGTGGGACATACTTGGGAGTAATATACTCTTCATGTTAGAAATGAATAACACAACCACTGTTTACTAAGGTGAGGTGTCATATCATATTTAGCTTCTTTACTTTGATTAGGAAAGTTTTTCCTTGGAGTAATCTACTTTGTTTCAAGTACCATCTTTTTATTTTATTTTATTTATTTATTTATTTATTGCAAATGACTCTTAATACATATCAGGTTATGTGATTTGCTCAAGTTTTTAGTGTATTCCTCAATAAAGATTGATAGTAAACTCAGGATTATATTGTTTTGCATTGGTAGTGCAATTCCTCCAGCATGTTTGTATATTTGTTGTTCTTGATAGTTCTGTTTCTACATAGTACCTCCTTTATGTTGGTCCATATATTAATCACAAATTAAGAAATGTATTTTGTGTGATGCATTAAGTTACTTTTTTGGCTACTCAACCCTCTCATATGTCTATCATGTTCATTCTCTTCTGTGGTTCTAATATAAGCACAAGGGCATTCATTTTATTCAAAATTTTTGCATGTAAACATAGGTAGAGGTGCTTCTTGTAAGAATGTGGTTCTCTCTAAACAAGTATTACTATCATGTCAGTAAGTCAGACAAAATGACTACTTTTTAATTATGGCAGGCCCACATAAGATCCAAGGAATAGGAGCTGGTTTTATTCCTGGGGTTTTGGATGTTGATCTCATTGATGAAGCCGTGCAGGTAATCCTAAATCTTGACATTATGAATTTATTATCATTCTTTAACACTGTTGAGACAAAAATGGGGCAAATTTTGATACAAAGAATGGATCATAGACCAAAATATTATACTTATCTACTGTTATAAAATCCCTGTTTTAGATAGAAACTTCTGGGTCAACCTCCAAAAATAAACGTATTTGTTAACCTTAAGTACACTTGTCTATAAAATAGTAGGGTTCATGTAGCCGACCTCAAAAGTTTGGGATAAAGGCTGTTGTTGTATCCAAAAGTTATACTTTTAAGTTTTTAGTATCATTTATCTGTTGAATAACCGTACTTACCGAGCTACTTCATGGAGGTAGGGAATCCTGATTGAAACATCAAGATTATAGAACTTCCCTTTACCACCACAGAAGAGGCTGGCAATGCCAAATCTGCACACGTTTACAATCGTTAATCTCCTCCATACATTCAATGCATGTCGCAGGTACTAGATATGAGTAACAATGGTTAATGTATCAATAAGTAACATAAACTATGACAATTTAAGGTGTGAATAATGCTGGTTTATACATTTGTTTTATCAAATTGACTGCTATGTAAAGGTTTCTTCCTCCAACTTAGAAAGAAACATAATTTTCTTTTTCATTTGCATGGACATTTTATGGACCATAGTTTTAATATAGCATCTCAATTTTTGTTCCATGGTCCATTTCGCCAGGTTTCAAGTGATGAAGCTATTGAAATGGCGAAAGTTCTTGCCATGAAAGAGGGTCTATTGGTGAGTTCACTTTCTTCCTTGTTGAGCCCTATGCTATTTATTATTTAGGCAATTTTTTCCCTTTAGCAGTCATTTAGGTATTCCATCTTCTGTTTATATTTTTGCTATTTCTTAACATCAATTATCTATTGAAGGTTGGAATATCATCTGGAGCTGCTGCAGCAG